TAACTTGCTTATCTAACTTGAGAAACAAATGGGAAAACATCCATATAAAATAAAAATAAAAATCATACAGGAAATCCTCTTCCTCAGACTACTCAACCAGAGATGTATTTACTTTACAGAACAGGGTATGTGCATGTACGTGTGTGTGCATGCATCTTACATACAGGAAATTAATTTCCTGGCCTGAGACCATGGGAGAGTACAATGGTAGCCACATTTATTGCCTATTCTCTTAACAGGGCAACAGTTTGATAAATCTGTATGCAACTGAAGAAAGAGTTTATTGTAAGAATGCGGGCTGTTGGAAGGAGCTTTTATTACTTTATCTGGGCTTTCAATAGGCTTTTTGAAATAGGTTCTTGCTGCAGCCTTGCCAGGGCATGTACCATGCCGTGCTTTGACAAAATCTCACATGACTCTCTTATGCTAGCAATTGGAAGACGTTCATAAACAGCAAATACCACACACACACAAAAAAAGATGGAGGACTGGATGTGGAAGTATTTGTGTCGATGTGGGAATGATGTGTGGAATTTTTTCCTTTAGCAACATACTTTCCATGCTGCATCTCAGAAAATCTGTTCTCTGGGCACTGGTTGTATACTTTCTGCCTAGAGGGCTTTCAAAATTAAGTAAAAGCAAACAGAAAATGGCATCATCTCAAGGGTTTCTCCACTCCACAATGTGAAGGAAAAGAAGGCAGCCGTTTGTGTCTTGGCACGAAGTAGATGCCACTTCAAAGCTGCACTGCAAGGGTATATTCGGACAGGGAGCAGAAGGTGATTTTAGCTCTTACTAGGTCAGGGAAAACTTAAAAATCAGAATTCTCTCAAGCTTCTCTTGGAAGAACAAAACTAAAGACTGGAGAATATCCAGAATCTCACAGCACTCTGACTCTTTGTGTCAGAGAATGGGTTTTAAGACTGAGGTCTAGAGCTGCTGAATATCACAGTCTCTTTTGAGGGCCTAGGGAGGGATGAAAACTGCTTTTTGAGGTAAACTGTTCTTCTGATTAGTGTTATCATTATATGTATTGGGCTAAAATTGCAAATGTTTGTGGGATCCCTTGAATGAGTAAGATTTACTCAAGTAAAGGAGGGCAGCATACAGTGTGATAAGTTCACATGCTTGCTGACAGTTACACCTGGAGTCAAGGTTTGCTTGTGACTGCAGTTGGGGAAAGTTTTTGACTTGGGATTTTTTGAGTCTGCTGGAGCTTAATGTCTGAGAGTGGAGTCCATCTCACTTCAGCCTTCCTCAGCAGACAAGGGCTGATAACCAATTACACTTAGATTCAGGACTGACTTGTTTGCATAATCGATCTCAATACTTACCTGTATACAGATGGAGAAATTGTTTTCTCCATTTTATTATTGCTTGATGCTATAAATAATATGTTGATGTTAAAGTCAAAGTGTTACATATATTCACAATTTCATATATACACATGTATCTATATCATATATATCATGGACATGTTAAGATATATATATTCACATATATATCTATATATATGTACACACATACATGATTATATACACTCGTGACAGAAAAGATTTGCAGTAATAAGATGAGGTGGTCACTCTGCTTAAGGATGTCCACGTGATGGTGGTACAGCTAACAGTATTTATCATGTGTTTGTTCCAGGACAGTGCTAGTCATGTACTCCTGAGTGAGGAACAGGTAATAACTTGTAAGATTAGAGATTGCAAAATCTATGAAAGTACCTCAAAAAAGTACCTCTTATTGAACACTTAACAAATGTCAGTATGTTTGATAATATGACTTAATCTTTCTATGCCATAATTTACCTATCTATACAGTCATGGTAAGACCCTTGCATATCTCACATGGGTGTCAAGGAGAAAGCCATATTGTCTTTGGTTCACTCAATTGCTGGGGTGACGTTTGGGAAAACTAAGAGTTTTCTGTTCAAGTGAAGGTTTAGGTTGATCCTCAAATGTCATCTAGGCCCAGGTGGAAAGATAATGTTAAAAAAGAAACTGTTCACTGAACACAGTGCAGTCTGTATCCTAAACAAGGAAGGGATGGCAAAAGTAAGATACATAATAAGCAAATAAAAGCTGTAGCATGTGCACACCCATCAACCTTCGCTCAAACATTTCCTGACTTCTGAATGCTTGACTTTATAACTGTCTTATTTTGAGAGCATTTACTGAAACATAACAGTAGTCAAATGTGATTAGCTTGAGTACTTTGAGACCCTTAAAGCTCAGAGCAATTGGGCTGTAATAATCAAAATACTTGACTGTGTAACTGTGAAATGTATTGTATAGTCCAAAGTCTGTAATAAGCAATAAATTACAATTACCCTGGCTAAAGAGCACCCAGTATAGGTTCATAAGTAGACAGGCTACTCATTCCTTTTATACGAGGGGGCATATTCTTGGTCACTTTGATTTAAATGAAAATTCTGCCTTATTCTTTGTAGGAATTAAAATAATGATGAATCTCACAGTGAATACTAGCATGATTCCTAATGTTCTTTCCATGGGCCAAATAATATTTTAAATAAACTATCTTTTCAAGCTGAATTAACCAAGCTTAATCAGTTTAAATAAAAACACCAGTCATGGCTAGCATTTTAGATGATGAAGGATTGGGGTTTAAGCTTCTTATCTGTTCATAGATTTTCTAATCTTTGAAGTGGAGATAGTTATGTCTAAGGGATGTTAGGAAACCTATGTAATGTTAATAAAATGCTTTGAGGTCTTCCAGTAAAAGTGTAAGGAGTTAATATCTTTTAATGCCAATTGGCATTTCCCATGATAATTAATTTGGTACTGTTGTTAATTCAGTGTTGTAGGACTGAAAAAATACATCATCCTGAAAATGGAGAGAGACATTGATGGGGGATCGGATTCTACATGCTTTCGAACTTGATGGAAAGAGCATCATTGTTTTCAAGTGGTATGGGATTAAGTCCCACAAATAAATATATGAGAGTTGATCTCATTTCACTGTCCCAGAGAAAAGAGATGTAAAAAGGAAGCAGAGAGGAAAAATATTAGGAAGTAAATTGTACTTGCAAAGCTTAAATAATAGTAAGAGAACATAAATGTTCACCTACATGAAAAAATCTTTGCAAGAATAGGGCGCGCTGCTGTGCTTTATTTGCCATGCCAGTAACACGTGTGATGCACAGCTGCAAGGCATATACCTTAAAAAGTAATGGAACAAATAGGAAGAGCTCCTGTGTAATTTAGGGTCAGAACCCAAGGCAGTCAAACCTGGTCTGAGCTCAGGCTACCATGCTCTCCCCGAGCAGGCTGGCTTACATAGAGTCTGCAGCCACGCTCATGGGCTCCTTTATATTGTCAAATGTGATTTGAATGCCTTGAAGGTTTGACCTTTAACGGAGGGATCCCACAAAGTACCTGAGTATATAAACAGACTAATGACAGCTTATTTGTTCTTCTGCCAGTACTGTTTGCATTCACAAGCTATTGATCTCACAGGCATGGGTAGCTTGGGCTGGTCTGGTCAAAATGGTTATTGCTCCCAGTTCTTCTGTCAGAAGTTGGTGCTTTTTGGGAGGGAAATGCACCCCACGTGGAGCATTTGCTGAATCCTGGCACTTTGCAGCATGAGAAATAAACCTGGTGCTGTAAATTTGAGAAGCACAGAATCTGTCTGAACTTCTGTTCCCTGGTGGAGAAGAGGAGTGGGAATCCATGAGCAGTGGTGCCTTTGGGCATCTTGAGTTCAGCCAGCCTGGTTGCAGGTCAGCAGCTGGGGTTACCTGCTGTGATGGGAAATGTTCATCAGCTGCTACATGTAGAGGGTAAATTTCTCAGAAGCACCAAATTGCCTCTCTCCGTGCCTTCACAGGGGCCGTTACTTCACTGTATGGCTGTTCACTCTGGACTTGCACAAGTGAGATTGACAATACTTCTTGCAGTATTTAATCTGCATACAGCAATTAGACTGGCTCTAGAGAGTAATTGGATTACCAGAGTGTTTGAATTAGTTGATGAGATAAATAACTCTATCCCATAGCATTAATAGGATGAAGTCCAGCACAGCCAAAGCTTTGCCACATGCCCTTAGTTTGAGCTCCAAACGTCACAGTCACAAAAACTCAAAACTTGGGTTTTGATGTCCATATGTAAACAGAATCAGGATGGCAGATTAACTTTTTCTAACAGCGCAGACAGGATTTTACAAGTGATTCTCCTATTTTGTAGACTGTGCACCATTGTTGCATGGATCATTACAGATGATGTAGTGATGGCCTCCCAGATCAATGGCCAAAACGTCTTGGTTTGGTGGTGGGGTGCAGTGGGAAGTTATTTTATTTTACCATCTGTAAATTCTTTTCCTTATAAAACTATGGGAAATAAACATAATTATTAAAATGCTCCATGTCACAGTCTTTCTTTATGTGTCATATCCTTCTTTTTTTTTAACCTAAAAAACAGGATACTGCATTTTTTTCCATGAAAGCCAACCAGCTTCGCTGAGGATGTTCCCTTTTAGAACAGAACTTTCTAACTTCTGTTTAAGGTCATTTTTTTTCCCTTTAAAACAGTTTGCATGTCATAATGGCTACCCTGTGAGTTGCTTGCTTTGAGCAGGAATTGTTTCTTCCAACTCAAATCATCTACAAAGCAGATGGAGGTGTCCCCAGCTGGGTAGTCACCCCAGTTAATGGTAAAAAGGTGCTTTTATGTGTTAAATGCTTATACTGGAATGAGTTCAGTTTCACTCTGAAAGTACCTTTTTCCATTGACTGTAAAAGAAGCCTTAGGGAGCCTCGCTTAGCTGAAGGCATTGAGTCGGATGAATTCCCCCCTTCTGTGCCTGAAATTCTGGAAGAGTATTTTCGGAGAGTGTCCATGAAAACCCAGACCACTTCTGCAGAACCAGAGGAAACAAGGTTTCTGAGGGTTTCTTTAAAATAAAAATATTTTTCTGCATTTTTTGCAAGCTTCAGCAGTACAAGAATAAATCTGTTCTTAACTGTGCTTTTTCTTTAGTGTTGGAAAGGAAGATTTCGACAAGACAAAGCAGAGAGGAGCTGATAAGAAGGGGAGTGCTGAAGGAAATGCCCGAGCAAGGTGATAACGTGTTACCTAGAATTTAGCTCCTAAGTGCTAAACATGGATTATAAAGCCACTATTTTATTGTTTCCATGTAGTCTAAATAGGTATGAGGAGACAAAGCTGAGAAGTGTAGAAAATTGGCTGAAAAATTAGAGGCTTTAGGACCACCAAGCAAATGAATAGCATCCATTTCAAAAAGCAGCAGTGCTGGGATCATACAGATCCCACCACTATCACATAAACCACATTCACAAATGGCACAAACAAATCTGAGGGGAAGACACCCCTTGTTTTAAAATGAGGTAAGGTTTAGTAACTGGAATTAACCGGAATTTGTGTTTTGGAAAGCGTGAGTAAACTGTGGTTAACACCTCTGTGCTACATCTGATTATGTTTTTAGTGGTATTCTTTATAATATTATTGGTCTTCTATAAAGTAGATCAAGTAAAATTCAAGTGAGTAAAATAATTTTCTGTAATTTAATATTAAACCATTCATCATTTTGTCAAAGAGTCCAGGAACTCCATGATTTCCAAAAATATTTTTCTCCTATAAATTGTGCTACTCTACCTGAGCTGAAGAATCATGACAGTATCAATGTGTATGGTTATATCATACATACTGATATTTTGAAGTGAAGAGTTTGTCAACATGTGAACATCACTTGTCTTTACAGTGTTTTGCTAATTGCCAGGCTATGGCATGCAGCATAGCTGGCTTCTGAACTTGTATCTGCCACTGTCTTTGACTTAAAACAAGAAATGCAAACTCTCCACACCTCAGTTTGTCCCTCTGGGATTTTGTTGCAGTACATGCTTTACTGGGGGGCAGCCTGACTTTGTCCATTGATGGTTATAAATTGCATTTAGACTGCTGGGACAGGTAATGAAATGTGTTAACATTTCAGGTTGGTTACAGTCAGTCTGAACACAAGTATTTATTTGTGCTAAAAGTGTGAGTGCTTTGGTCATCAGTGTCCTTGACCCTCTATCCCACTCTTAAAAGTGAGTTGGACTTTGGCTCCTTTACAGACACTGAGCAAAGTGAGAAAAGGATGTAAAGAGAAAGAGTTTTCTCCCCTTTCTCCCATCTCAAGAAGCCCGTCAGTCAGGTCTGTGTTGCCTTCATGACAATGTGCTTCTTGTCTGATGAAAATTACAGTTTTAAGGAGCAATTTGAAAGAATACAGGTGATAAAAAAGAGATGATACAGTAAAGATGGTGGTTGAGCAGTGTGAAGGTAGAAGGAATGACCATGGAGATGAAAGCTACATGGGGAAATTGCATAGAATCTTGAAATGTAAGAGGTAAGAAATGTGAAGAAGCGACTGTTTCACATGGGATGAAAAAGAAAGAAGTGGAAAGGGGCAAGTGTCACTTGGAGGCAAGATGTGTTTGCAGAACCATGACATGGATAAGAGGAGGGAATGCCACATGCAGAGGCAGAGAGGAAAGAATGGATTTATGAACATCTGGAAGAAAGGAGCTGAAGAAACTGACTGTTGTGGTAGGGTAAGAAGGAAGCCTCATACAACTGTCAGCTACAGTGAATGAGACAAGGTTCAGAAGACAGACCTTAGTTTTTATACCTCAAATTGGTGTGTGGGCGAGAATGAAACCATCAGCTTAACTCATGGAGTAGCCCAAGGTGGTAAGAGAGAGGCTGTATAATTGTGTTGAAACCGTGAAACATCGAGATCTGATAGCACACATCAAGGAAGAGGAGAAGAAAAGAGTGAAATTGCTACAATTAATCAAGAAACAATGGGAGAAACCAGAAGAGACACCAGGTAGATTTTCATAATTTTTGGATGGACAGCAAGAGAACCCAGCAGAAGGAAAGCAAACATCTATGTGAACTGCAGTGGGGTGTGAGCAACATAAGGATAGCAAGCCTTAGAAATGACCAGAGAAGAAGATTAGCAGCAATTTTGAAATGCATGGAACAGAGAACAGAAATTGGTAAATAAGGGAGGAGAGAAAGCTGTGAGCTAGCAAGAGTATGTAGCATTTTTCAGGAATATAGAGGCAAAGAGGGAAGAGAAAGAAGTTGTTTTTCAGGGTTAAAAAAAACCCTCATAGCTGAGGTACTCTGAGTAAGTGAGTAAAATATCATCAGACTTGGGAAAGAATTTAACTTGCAGAATTTAATAATGGTATGATACGTGATACAGGAAGACATCACCTTGGTTCTTAAGGCTGGATGATGACTTTGTGGCCTATTTTATTCATTAACTGGGCATGCATATTCTGAGAACTTCTGTCTGAATTCCTGGCTGATTTACCTACTGGGATGCACCACAGTAGTCTTACAACTCTGCCCCCAGTTGCCCAGATTTGGAGATGTTGCAGCTCCGTTGTGGTCCACGCACAGCTTTCCTTGCTGTGTAAAGCAAGATGCAGGGAGGAAGAGAACAGGATGCTAACGTGTACAGGCACAAAGCTGGACCTGAAAACCCACGTGCACTTCCAGGTCCACCACTGCACCCAAAGACCGTGGAAGCCTATAGAGTTCCTTTACAGCGTTAACTTTTCAGAGCACATCTGCAGCCTGACATTTCACATTTCAGTTAAGTCTTTCTGCTTTGCTTTTGTGGAAACTTGAAAGCAGAGGGGTGCTGTGTATTGTCAATAGGTGCTAAGGAAGCAGTTAAACTCAACAATAGCTTTTTAAATTTTCATTTCAGATGGTGATGTAACGGTGAATTTTGAAACTTCAAATGGACACACTGTAGCCGTTGGTGAAGAAACCATACAGGAAGAAAATGGGGTAAAAACCAGTGGTGATAATGGTACTTTATCAGAGAAAGCATCAGCATTGGAAGGAAAAAAAGATCAAAAAGGTAAATGAACACGTTCTTCACAAATTGTTTTCTGCATACTTAAAATATTATAACATGTCCTTCCATTAGCACCAATACATGCTGTGAGTTCTGTTCTGCCACAAGGATACCAGCAGAACCTGCTGAGAAGATAAGACTTGTGAAGCATCAGTATTTCATCACTGGTAGGCATGCCTTTTACTGTGGATATAGTAAAGTCATAAAGAGAAGCGTGGTCTGAGCATGAAAATGCGTGCAAGGGTGTTCAATTTCTAAATTCAATGTGAGCCTTGTAGCCATGGGCAAGCTTTGGTTTCAGGTTTTCCTTTTGTGAAAGACGCGAAGTGCATATGCATCACCTTGCAATATCATTGTAGAAGTGGCTCATGGGTTGAAAGTTCGAAAGTGTTAAAGCCACTTAAAAACCATGTATCATTTTGAAAGTAACGTCCACAACTCATTCCTAGTGGTTTTCATTAAATCTCCAACACTTGCAGTCCAGCTCTTCAGAGATATTCAAGGAGCTATATCTCTGCCACAAACCGAACCTAGGTCACTTACGGAAAATGAACTTTATGACTATAGGATTTTCTATAGATTAATTGCAGTAAATATTGCTAAATATTTGGCAGTCCCAAAGTCCATATTAATTTTGTTACCTTTACTTAGATCTTCCTTGGTAGCAAGAGTTTGACTGAGTAAGAAAAAGTAAAGATTAATGCAGAACCACAGGATTTTGACCAGTTTCATTTTCTTTCTCTGGCCTCTTGAATAATGCACCACTTACTTTCCCTGACAAAAAGTGTTCTTAAATACTATTCCATTTATTGGATTTTCATAGAAGAAAGAGTAAAGATACAAGAGATTGAGAACTTCATAGCTGGCTGTTAAACTAAGCAGCCTTTGCAGTGTCTTCTAGTAACCTCTACTTAGTGATGAATGAGTCTGTGGAGGTTGAGAGGGTCAGTTTGTCTAACACAAAAATTTGAATTCTTCTCTCAGCTGTGTAAATCACTTGACTATGTAAAAAATGACTGGATGTCCAAGGAGAACCGCCTTTCTTATGAGATTTCTAGTACTTCTTGTCACCCAACAAGACAGAAATACAAGATTAGCCTCTTTCATGACATTTAAATACATCTGTCTTTTGGTACCAACTAGAACCAGATGTATATTAAGTCAAGGGGAAAAAAGCATTTTAAAAGCCATGGAAAACTCCTTTAAAATGGTTCAGGTTAATGTTGAGGTTAGATCAGCTCAATTATTTTATGCATCCCTAAATACAGCCTTTTGGAACTCTCAGGTCTTGGAACTTTTTCTGAGGTACAGGTTATTTTTAGAAATACATATTTTTAAGTATGTTGAAATCCCCTCTAGCTGACTTTGCAGAATGTATAACTCCAATGAAGCAGAAAATGTTTGATATCTATTTCAGACACTTTATTACACTTTGCACTCCGTATATATTGTGCTGACCTTACAGGGAGAAATTAAAAATTATTGCTGTACAGGACTAGACTCAGTACAGAAGGATATATAGCTGTCACTCCAGTCCCTCCCAGAAAATGAAGTATATATGGAAGAGGGAGAAGAAGAACAAAAAATGAGCAACCTTGGTATTCTAAGCTTCAGAGGATGTCAATATGACCATATAGAAGATGCAAAACACTTCAAGTATGCTTTCCTCTTAAATCTAAACATGAAGTTCTTCTACTCATGAACATCTTGAGTCCCCTGTAAAGGAACAAGATAGATTTATTACAGAGGAATAGTCTGCCCAAAAGAGGTGTTAAGAATCAATTCCACACATCAGCAACGGTGTTACACAGCACAAATCCAATACAACTCACTGGATAGTCACTGTGAATACACTTCAGTTATTCTTTACTTTATAGCCCATTAAGCAAGATGATGAGTCAGTCTCTTGAACTCACTGGAAGAATAAGGCCCACTGCATCTCACGGATCCATCTCACCTGACAGATTAATCCTTGATGATTTTTTATGGCAGACGCCATAGATAAGCATTACACCCACACCCACTGGCAGAGTGAGGAATTAATAACCGCAGAGTGGAGGTTTGCTAATGCTCACAGAGCATCAAAATCAGAGCTGGAGCAGGAATACCTAGCTCACTGTCTTCTGCTCAGGCCATAAAATACGCTAGTGTATCAGATCACAACCCTCCATCATGTGAACTGAGATAGTTGGAGTGAATATTAGCTGGACAGTCAGGAGTAATGGATGCAAGGAGTTCATTTTTAGTGAGGATAATGTTAGGCTTTTTAGAGTCGTGAACTCTTCTGTGTAAATCTTGAAGGTAGTTCCTTCAAGAACATCTTCCATGTTTATAAGACCTGAAGACAGGATTAATTGCTGCTCTTCAGTAGCATGATGTGCTGCAGTTCCAAATCCAGAGGAATCAAAATGTTCCCAAAAATGCATCTCAGCCCCTGAAATTTATGAGGTTATTTTAAAATGCTTTAATGAAATGGTGGTGGTCTTTACTTGCTCTCTTGTTCAAGTGGGACTTAAAAATGGCCTTCCCATATAAATATGATAGTAACTGCTGGAGCTGGAAGCTTAAAAAGCACAAGTGATATAGGCACATCATGATAATATGGTGAGAGTTGGCAGCAACACATGGTAGAATGTAAGTATGTAAAAAGTTGGAAGAAGTTAGAGGAAAAATGTTGTTTCGTAATGAACTACAGAAGTACAGTATCAACAGGGCAAGGCTCAGCCATGCAGTGTGAAAATGAGTTAAACAGATGCAAGTGAAGGAGACAACACCTGAAAGCTCTTCCCTGTGCTGCCAGGCAGTTCTATAAACTGTGTACCCATCTGCTGCCTGTCAGCTCACAGGTGCCTTTTGTAGTAAGTGAAAAAGTTCTCTTTGGCAATTTAGTAGTGTAACTATTGCTGTCTGTAGTCATGATGAGATGTCAGTCATCCAAGCAGGGTGTTTAAAAGGAAATTTCTCCTTTATAGCAGGATAATAAGAAGCTGGTGACAGTTTTACAAAAAACAGGTAATTGATGGATAAAGCTTTGCAAATGAGATTTCAAAGAAATCTTTTTCCTAGATAATTTAGTCATGTTATGTTTTTACTGGGTTGAGCTCTGAATACTTTTGTTTTGTTTTGTTTTGTTTTGTTTTGACTAAGACCAGTCACTAGCATCTTATGCTGAAAATAAAGAGCTGAACTGTAGCCATTCTCTGTGAGCACCCTGGAAGGGATGCAGAGCAGTGGGTAGGCAAGCAGCACATCAAAGTACGCCCCGGTTGTCTGGGCAGCAGAGAGGACTGCACCATCGTGCCAGGGCACCTGACCTGTGGCCCTTGTCTGCAGTAGCCCCAGCAGAACCCAGCGCTCTAGGTTCCAGGTGGGATATGAGCATCACAAAGGGTATCTAAGGAGTCTGTCTGCCTCTGCCCCAACAGCAATGTTGGAGAAGACTAAAAGCCATATCAGTAGAATAGATGTCAAAATTGTTGCCATTTGCCTCCCTGAAAATATGGGGACATAGTATGCTGACGCAGCATGCATGCTGTGCATTGTAAAACCTCCTGGTACTGTGTCAGAGCTGCTTTTCTCCATTTTACCCTCCCAGGATGTCTCTGGCACACAGATAATAAAAGAAGATTGGAGGCACAAGCTCTGGTCTTGTAAGCATGCATTGTTGCTGACCAATGCTTTAACTTGTCTATCAAGGAATGCTCTTCAAAGTCCAATTTTCTAGGTTCCTTTTCTCAGAGGTCTTTATTTCCCCAAGGTAGAACTAAACCTGTTGAATTTAAGATGGTAACCCTCATCTTCCAAGGTCTCAGGCAAGAGCCTGCTTTCTTTCAGTAGACTAGTCCTGCAAACCATTCACTGTGAGAGACAGGGCAGACTTTCTTCCCTCTCGTGTGCCTTCCTACACTCCTGAGCTCTGTAGATCATCGATATGAGCACCATACATAAAAGGTGGGTAGTTTTTTTTTTGTCTGACTCCCAAAGAATCTCTCACTCCAGCTGAGTTATTTGCTGGCTAAAACAAGTTCTTCTAAGAATAGTATATCTTCAATTCATCACCTGAACTATGTAAATGAGAGTGAATCCAAATCTTCTTAAAAGGAAAGCTACTCTAGATACAGATGTCTTTGGGCAGAGCCTGTCCACTAAGTCAGCCAGGCTGGTTCATGCCAATAGACTGACATGAGAGGCATGGACTTGCACCCACAAAAGGTGAGTAGCAGAGGAGAGCTCCTGATTTGTAAAGCTGCTGTTTGTGTTGTTTTGTTGTTTGGTTTTTTTTTTATTTTCTGAGAAAGATATCCAAACGTGGCTCCAGAAATAAGACTGTAGATGTGATTTTAATGAGCTAACCATAGAATTCTCTGAGCATATCTATACAAAAAGTATGTATAAGCCTACATCCCATTCACTTTCGAAGTCTCCCATAGACCAGGAAATAGTAAAAGTATGCAGTTGACTGAAGATGTTTTGGGTGTTCTCTTTTGATTCAGTAGCTTGCTTTTTACACAAAAGTTGGACAATTAGCAATGTGAAATGACGGTCAGTGGGTTGGTTTTTTTCCTTTTTTACCTTGGAACCAGTGCTCAATATCTGAACATGGTTGCTTTAGGTCAGATGTTACACCTGTCCCTTTCTCCCCTCTCCTGTTTTCTACACTGTCTCTGTTACAGGACTACTTGCACATGATGCTGTTGAAATTGTAAGGAAGGAAGGTCTGGAAGTCTGCAGATGTACAGATCTGCTCCTCCATCTTCAAGAAAGATTAATTAAAAACTGCAGAGAGAGCTGCAAAAAGCATCATGAGACTGCTGTTCTTGTTCAGCCTAGCAGATCAGAGCCTGAGTGCATTTGATGAATGTAACAAGTTGGTATATGGCCAGGAGAGAGCATGGCTAGAGGACGATGCTGGCACAAGTAGAAAGGAATAAACAGTAGCTTGAAATACATTTAGACTGGAAATTCAAGGGAGCTTTTTAACAATTAGAATGGTTTTTTTCTTGAACAGAATTTTAGTAGCAATAGCAGGAACAAAAAAATGGAGCTGGTCAAATCTGAAGTTTATGAAAGGATTTGTATGAGTTAACCACCTGCATCAGCACAGTCAGTGCGTCAAAAAAAGAGACAAAAGGCACCTTGTCTTGCCCTGTGTCCCATGTTTCTGAAGGACAGCTTCCGGGGTTTTGATGAATCAAAACACAGCTCTCTGCATAAGCTGGAAACTCATGATTCTCAAAACTCTTACTGATTTTCGTTTTGCAGGGAGTCATCCCGCAAAAGACAAATCATACATTATTTCCAACTTCCATTTTGCATAGTGTTACTTCATCGAGTTGTGCTCATCTTCCAGGGGAAGGGTGCTTTGCAGTTGATGTAGTTTATGTTCTTGTGCTGCAGCACTACTGGTTTTCTGTGAGCTACCTTCATGTCACTGCTTTATCTGCAGAAACAAAACTACCAGTACTGTATGACAAAATTCTGTGGTAGAAAAGCTTTGACCTTCGGTTCCTTAGAAGTTCACAAAAGTAAAGGAAAAAATATTGTTTTATATAACCTGGTAATATATGGATTCTGAAACTGTGCCCAGGATTTTCGTAGGTCCATTTGGTCCAGAATTTGCAAAAGGTCTCACATTTAGCTTCCAGAATAAGTAATCTGATTTTCCAGTGCATGTGGCACACAGATATCTCTCTGAGCATCTTTGAGACTTGATGAATCCTTACAAGATCTGTTGTATACTGAGTACTTTGTAACTCTGACCATCATTTAGGTGCTTTCACAAGAACACAGCTTTCTTAAGAGTCTGTCCCCAGTTGCAATTTCTGGGAACAAGAAAATCTGGTCTCAAAGTGAGCTTTATTGAAAATCTAGCCTTTGGAAAATTTATTCTAAACATAATCATATTATTGTTGCAAATTCTTAATAAGACATTAACATTTGCTTTGCGTTCCTCTTAAAAGAGTAATTTATAGGCGGATTGCTTTTAGAGCAGATGTCTTGATCAAGGCAGCAGTGAATAAAAGATATTCCCACCTGATGGTCTTTTGGAGACCTTTTGTTAAAAGGTCAGTTCATGATGAACAGATGTCTACATTAAGAAAAGAAAGCAATAAAAATACATTGCAGCTGGTACTGAGGTACCTAGGGGATTGGCTTGAATAAATAGATGGGTCTGAACTGATTCAGATGCCTCCTTGTTTTAGCAAAAGATGGAAAAGAAAGAGCAAGCGTGAAGACCAAGAGTCCACATTCAAGCAGAATCATGTTAGGGAGGTACAATTACAACATAATTTTATCTTGAGCCGTTTGCAGACATCAGACCATCCCTGTCATTGTTCTAGATCAAGCCACTGGTGTCATTATTAGTTATTTGTATTAGTACAGTACTGATGTACACAAAGCCTGAGGGGCAGCAGAGGAAGAGCAATGGAAAGCATCTGCTTCAAAACTTGGCTTGTTGCTGGCACAAGCTGGTATAATGGATTGGTCAGGTAGGAACTGGAAATTGGTATCTCAAAAGTAAATGAGAAACAGTCATTGGGGCAAGATCAGACTGACACTGGGGACAGTCAAGTTTATATCTGATAAGATTAAAAAAAATGAAGCTAACAAAGGTAAAAAGGGCAAAGCTAATAAGATAACAACAGGGATGATATGGTCAAAGGCAGTCATCTTCACCACAGCTTTCCTTATGGCTATGAGGAAAAAGAAGATTCACTAGTCAAGACCAAGAAAAGGGCATGTACATAATTAAAGGGCAATCAAGACTCGATGAGAGCAGGAAATATCTGAGCAGATAGGATGCTGCTGTACAGAAAGGGTCAGCCAGTGTTTGGTATGACGTATGTAACAGTATGGCAAGAGCAGTCCTAGATAAAGATGATATCCCAGTGATGGCAAAGTATTCCAGTTAAAATCAATGTTATATAAATTGCCAGTTTTAATCACAACTGAAGACTGAAGCCAACTTTGATGTTAATGAGCTGTTCCAATTTTGGTTTTCAGTTGTAGTATTTGGTTATTTCTCTAATGAAAATTTCTCTAATTTGAAAATTATTAGTTGGTTGTCACTAAGATGTGTTTGTTTGCAACTAAATAAAGCTTTAACCTTATATTTTGTGCTTTTTTCCTGAATCAGAAGATAAATTCATACTGTTAAATACATAGTTTAATCAGTTCTGTAGTTTAACGTGGATTGACTGAGATTCTACTTAATTGCACTGTATTACTTTAGAAAATGGTGAATGGTGTATTTCTTTTTACAAGGTTATAATTCTCTTTTTAATATTTTCTCTATTAATAGGACTGCAAACAAAACATAGTAATGGTGTATAAGCACACAAGTTTTAAATTCTTTCTCATTAGTGAATAAAATTGTAGCATGCTGGACCCATAAGTAAAAGGTATATCAAAGAATTGTTTACACTTTTTTACACTTCTTTCCGGTCTTCATGTCCTTCAGGATCTTCAGAATACAAAATCTTGTCTTCTCTTGCCATGTTTGTTATTAATGGAATTAAATTTTTTAAATGTCCAGCTTCTTCAGAATAAAATCAGTTTTTCAGCTTTGAATGAAAGTAAGTAGAATTTCACAAGCTTTTTGCTATAAAAGAGGAGAGCAAAATATAACAAATATGTATGTTTCTTTCTTCTTCCAAAGTCTTTCTGTGGTCCAAAGTTCTTTCTCTGGAACACAAAGAGGCAGTACAGGAATCTCAGCTCAAAAGAAATCTGAAAGCTGTAAAAGGTTGCTATGCAATGGTTCTTGCAAAACATTAGCAAAACCATATTAGTCTATAATGGGCTGGAAGTAAAGGAGGAAGACACTGGGCAGTTATTGTTAATTCCTTCAGTTGATGAAGAGAAATATGTGTGCATGTTGCTTTTAATAACTGCAGGTGATGCATTAGGATCATGTTAACAAGCCTTAAGCTAGAGGTTGAAAAGGCTTTGTTTCCAAGATGAAGAATATCATTGTTGTCCAACACATTATTTTTCATCTACTAATCTTAAAATGAAAAGGTGCTGCTTATCTCTTGGGAATCTTTTACAGGGGAAGGAAGAGAGCAGGAAACAGACAGGAGATCCAGGATTGGCCATCTAATATGTGTAAGAGTCAGGCTCCAGTAGGAACATACTGCAAGAAATGACTTGGTTTCCTCTTGAGTGATAAAAGAGACTATTAGAAGTCCTTGCAATATTTTCTTGGCTTCTTTCTTCCCCAACCACTGTAGTTTTTGGTAACATGCAAATAAAGCCCTTATAGTTCTGATAGTATGCTCTTGCACTTTTATATCCTTTTTCTGGAAGCTTTGGGAAAACTATCTTGAGACCTAATGGGCACAGAGTCAGTGTAATTGAACAGATAAACTTTCCTGTCTGGGAACAGCTAGTCGTACAGCCATAGCGATTATGTTGCAAAATTTTATGTTGACTATAAATGGCTCACCTATATTAACATTACAGTTGGCATCAGGCATGCACTTTTGAAGTGAATTTCCTGGTCATCTCCACTTACCGTTCTTTGGTTTGCAGGGCACACAACCCACATTTCTTTTGCATGAAACTAACCCAAAAGACACATTCAGGAACTTGTGCTCCCACCACGACTGTGTGTGCAATCTACAGAACTAGCCTGAAGCTAGTCCAAAGTCAGGTCTCCTGAAATGCACAGAGTGTGGACATCGGGTCCTCAGTGCTACCTGTTTCACTCTGCAGAGCCATTCCTATTGTACGACGCGATGTAGGTACAGTACAAATTCCCACTGACTAAAAAACTGCTGATTTGTGGAAGTGCAGTCTTCTAACAGTACCCAAAGAGCTTGCTTGCAGGAGAGAAGAGCCTTCCCATGGCAAATGACATCCTATTTGATTTAGGTTCATCTGTTTCTGAAGAGTAAAAATACCTTGGGGAAGATACACCAAATAAATTTGCTATGAGCAAGCAGACTACAGCTTAGGAGGATGAGTTGCTTCAGGGGAAAATGAATTTTATAGCTTGTTGATCGCAGAGGGCTGGGAAGAAGCCAAGGAAATTTTCTTAGAAGATTAAATGGCATTTTCCTTGTTTAGTTTGCAGCCAGCACTCTAGTGAGTGCTGAGAATACTGAGAGTTGAGAATGATCCTTGGAGGTGTAGAATAGATGAGACTGAGAGAAGTGCTGGGCAAAAGTCTTCCATGAGAAGGACTTAAATTGAGATCGATGGTAATTCTTTTCTGAGGTAGTGCTTCGGTAAGAGGCAGAAGATTAAGTTTCTCCTGATTCCTAAGAGCTCAAGCAGCCAGAAGCAGTCACTGTGGTCAGGCTTGCTGTTGAATGTACGTGGCATATGTCTGTGTCAGTTGGCTTCTGTTCACTTTCTTATCCATAGAGAGCACTACTGATCACTGCCCAGAAATACCGGCTTCCCATGCTCCACCACCCAAGCCTAAGCCTAAATCTAAAAAAGCTCTGCTACCACCAAAAAATGCTATTGCTGCTTCAACCACCACCAGCCATAAGAGTAACGAAGCACCTCATGCTAAAAAAAAGGGAAAGGCTCCTGCTAAGCAGCCTCCTCTCCCACCGCCCAAGCCAACAAGTCACAGTGCAAATCGAGAAGCTGGTGAGTACTGTGCAGGCAGTGCCAGTTATGGTGGGTGCATGTGCATGGGGATGCTTGGCTTGGCCTTACAATAACTTCTGCCTTTGTACTTAGCAGTGTTACTAAAGAGCATGCCACAGGTGTTTTTAGGTAGCGATGCACAACACAAATCGTGACAGAGACAATATCGAATTTCTGATTAAAGTGGGAATGCTGGCAACAAAGTGACCCAGAGAACTGCTGAAGAATCAGCAGGCCAAAAGGTGACTTCTGAAACCAAACCAAAGTAAAAGTACTTCAGTATTGCTGTAACTTTCTGCTGGAAATATCTGTTATTCCAATTTAACAAGATCTCAGAGAAGTAAAGAATAAAACTATGAAGGCATCTTTAAAGGCTGTTGAGTAGCAGTTTTTTTAGCTGAAGAAGGAAGAAATTATAACTCATTAGAAATACCCAGGCTTCCCTGAGCTGGTTGATAGCTTGCTGTGATTTTAAATACATGCTGGAAATGGAAAATGTCCATCATCAAGCACACAGCAGATGTGTTTGTCACTACACCTTTTGACCAAAGTTCAGCAGTGATGCTGCATTAAAAATTATAGGTAGCTGTTCTTAAGGTATTGATCTCAAGTTTGAATGGTTGTAATTTAGACAAAGACCAAAATGAAAACATCCAAATATAATTTGAACGCAAGCAGTATGATGATGAATGAATTGTATATATGTATTGGTCAACTTACACAAGCCTAGTGTTTTCAGTCCTTTGTCAGTCTTTCAAAGCCCTTCAGTCCCCTCAGTTTTCTCTCCGAGTATACCTCTTCATAGCTTGTACATTTTGGCACGTTTTGTATTTGAAGGACACAGAGGAGGACTGTTTGAAAACATTGCAAGACTGCTAGAGTTACAATAATAACTTTGCCATAAAATATCCATTAACTTGGTATTAACTGTCCCTACTACATCAGACAACCACAAGAATAAACATTTTGAAAACCCAGAATTTGCTGCTTGTATTTCATGTTCAGCTGAAAAACTCTGTTCCCAAGTGAAGGGACCTTATAACAGCAGAGCTTTCAGAAATAAAACAATCCATCATATAAAGAAATGTTTAGACCACTGGCTGGTAACATGCTCTCAGGTATCTCAGTTCTTAAATTAAAATACATTCAGTTTCCAGATTTGTCTTTTAGTAGCCTTGCTGAAATGTCATACAATGCTTGAAACCATATGGGTATGAAATATAACAATATATCCTTTATATGAAATAGTACCTATTCTACTGGTAATTTCTTCCCACACTAAAAGTACATTGTGTTCGTTTGAAGTGGGGCAATACTTAATAAATAAAGCTGATTGGAAGCAGTATTTAGTACAAGAGGTTTATCAAAACATGATGCAGCCAGAGATCCTGTCCTGTGAAGGAGAAGAGGAATATGAGTAACTGAGCTGTGGCTACCCTGAGGGCACCATAGCAGGTTTCCAAACTGAATAGTGGAGTTAGGAGAAGGGGACTTAAACGTAAGCATGGACATGTGCCAAAAGCCAAATAATAGCCATGAAATTTTTCATTTAATCAAAATTAAGATCTTCTGCTGACAAAGAGGCATGACAGAAAATTGTCAGCCAGCCCGGTCAAAAGCAACAATAGCAATAGCACTTTTGACCCACGTGAAAGAGTAGGGGGGAATTTTCCCTGGGAGAAATCTTTCAAGTTTCTGTATCTGATCGCAGGTCCTGATAGGTTCTGAGAATATTGTAAGGGTTTTTTTCAGTGGAAACATCTTTTGACATTTTCCCAGTAACAATTACAGTGTGGCTGTATATTTGTATTACACTGGAGTTCTTAAGTGTAAGCATGTAACCGGTTCTGTTGACCTCCAGCCTGTATTTAAGTGCTTTGCTGGATCAAGACCAGAGCCCTTTCTTACTACCATCCACTTACTCAGTGAAGTTTCTGCTAAATAATATGCAGGTTTGAGCCACCATCTATTTCTACTGCAATTATGAAGTAGATTTGGTACTGTGCCCTTAACCGTCACCTTGCAGCACAAAGAGGGAGAGTGATTTGCCCAAAGTGTCTGTGGATTTTTCCAGATGTACTGAAAGCCTCACAGCGCCCTAAACATTTATAAACCATAACACTCAGCTACAGAAGAGAATGGTATAATGTGTTTTTCAAATTACTGTCCATCTTCTTTGAGACTGAGAACAGTCTTACTGTGAAAGCTATTTTTGTATCGTGAACTTATTATGGCCAGTATCTGCATTTTGTTTCTATCCTAATCTGCTGGGGTTTTGTTTTTATTTAATTGCTTATAAGTAAAGGAGACCTTTCAGCACATTTCTATTACAGCTTTCTGTTTTACTCAGTAAGCTTAGCCACAAGGTTTATAATGCTTTCATTTGTTCTCTTGAGGTTAATGCATTTTTAGTACAGCAGAAGTGTTTGAGTTGGATGCATTTTGATGAAAAGGACTGAATCATTAAGATGGTTGTCATTTTTATTGCTTTTTAAATGAAAGTCAGAAGTCTGACTCTCCCAGTGCAGATGATGGGCGCATCAACACAGTAATCAGAAATGTGACTGGAATGCACATGGGCATCCAGGCTAGCTGAAATCTCTTGCAGACTTGGGCATTGATATGTATATACTTCAGTTAGTATCACAGGATTAAACAGCTTGTACAGATCGTGTCAGAACCTTGGTTCACTGCATTTTCAAGGCTACTGGAGTTGGTCACTGGTAAGACGAAGACCTCCAATACATACAGGAGTCCTCCAGTGCTTCACCCTCTTCTGGAGATCATTTCTGCAAAGTGACATCAGTGGTTCCTGCCTCTGTTTTATGGACATGACCAACTGGACCCAAAAGTACATCTTGTTTTGCTGCTAGCTGTTAACTAGGAGCACACCACTTGCAGTAACATTGTGGAAGGTAATTTAAGTGATACACATAATGGTCCTGAAGTGTTCATTGAAAAGTGTAAGGAAGATCATGGTGTTCTAGTGCTCAGACCAAAAATCCACATAACAGAAACATCAGGCAGTTTTCTCTGGTAGCAAATTTTTTAACTAGGACTCTAAACACGTTTGGAAAAAAGTAGTAGGCTTTTTAGATTATGTCCAAGCAAGTAGTAGTAGGCCCATGCAAAATGCTAGAATCAAAATCATCTGTTTCAAAGGTTGATCTCCTCCACTGTTCTTGGGCATGTATTCATCATTTCAATTTTTCCCACCTCTAAAGCTGAAATTTGAACTGCAACATTTACTTACCTCCAACACATAGATGAAGGATTGTAGAAGTATCAAGTGTAATCTTTTTTAAATATCAGCATGAGTCAACTCATGCAGAAAACAGTGCAAAAGTCATGTAGTTGCAAGACTGTAAAATGCATTTTCTTTTCTTATTTTAGCTAGTTCCTCTCATGCAAAAAAAACACCAGTCTCCAAGTCCTCTTCATCACCATCTCCTTTGTCCACATCATCTCATCCCAAAGCCTCTAAGGAGACTTCCAGCAAATCGGGCACATCAGGGACTCCCAGGGGCAAGAAAAAACCTGGGAAACAGTCAGCCCCACGAACAGCACCAGATGGGGCTGCTTCTTCCCCCTCGGGTGCAACAGCCAACAGGTTGGAAGTGAAGGCAGAAAAACCTGAACCTGAGTATCCTTCCATAGTAATTTCTGAAACAGAGGACGCAGACCAACCGAGCAAGCTCATTGTCCCCCCTCCTCCCACCACTGCCCCTCCTCCACCTCCACTTCCACCTCCTTTTCCTGCTGCAGCTGGTCAGCCCACCATCCCCTCAGATGCCCCAGATGTGCCAGACAGCTGCATGGCAGGGCAGGCTGTCTCTAGATCAGATGCTAAACCTCTTCTCCAGACTGAGCATGGCACGGATGACAGCCTGAGCAGTACGGCCCTAGACAGCGGTCCAGATGCTAGTGGAGAAGACACAAAAAGGTAAGATGGTATGGCTGTTGTGGGTGAGTGGTAAGACCCACTGCTGAGGAAGCCACATTTCTTCATGTGGGGAACACTGTAGGCACATGGAGATCTCTTCTGTCTCTTCTGCTGGCTGGGAATAGTTTGTGTTGCATCCCAGCATGATTTGTTCCTTGCCAATGCTTTTGAGCCATTCCCCTGTAGTACTTCATGTTTGCCCAGAAGGTCATTGCCCCTAATATGCCTCTTACATTATTGTGTGGCTTAATGTGACCGCTGCAGTCAGCAGTTCAGCTAGTACTAATAGAACACTTATTTCACTCTCATAAAGGCAAACAAGAAATCATGCTGAACAAGGGAGTTTTGCTTTTTTGTGAGTATCATTAAATATCTCACTGGTAAAGCTCTTAATTCAATAGCTGAATTTACTTGCACACTTGAAAATGACAGTTTCAGGCTTCAGTTGGTAGGTGTTTAATCTGTCACTGCCTAATAGCTTGTCTAAGTCTCAGATACTATAAAATCTAGGCAAGAGGAAGATCATAATTACATTTTTCTAAGCAAAATAGTTGGCAGCAAAAAAGAAACTGGCTTATTAATCTGTCTTTTCCCTGCCATGAGATCCAACATCTTTAATAACAACCCAAGAGGGTTTAGTCTAGATGCCAGTGGCCTAGAGACTTTCCTTTAAATTCTTGCTGGTGTGTGTTTGCTGTCATTACATTCCTTTGCTGCTTCGCCCCTTGCTCTACCCCTCCTTCACATAAAGATTTTCCCAAGGCAAAGGGCACTCTGCTGCTGATTTCTATGTTCATCAGTGATGGACCTGAACATCTGGGACTCAACAGCAGTAAAACTGTATTTACAATAAATAGAGTTAGGCTTCCAGAACAGGAAGCTTTGCACTCCATTTACTCTCTGACTCGCTCCTCTGACCTCCAACTTTATAAGCTGTTTTTCTGTTTGTAGTAGCTTTCATATATTGTTAGTCCCATCCCACAAGAAATAAAAAATAATTAGGATTTTTCTTTATACAGGCTTTGTAACATATCATGCCAGTTCGTTTACATCTTTTTTCCTAACATACATGCACACAGATACGGGTACACATCTGTATACTTTACGTATGTTTTATATATGTACATTTTTTTAGAAAGAGAGAAGTTAGTTTGAATAACAGAACTTTTCATACTTGCTTGTACTGTCTGTCTCCCATCAGTGTTCTGTGCTGCTTGCTTTAATGTGACACTGTGTCTGCTTATGAATTAACAGCTTGGCTACCAAAGAAGACCAAGAAGCAGAGACACCCGACCAAGCACCCTCTGAACTGACGGAGGAAGCCTCTGATGCTGCTGTCCTTCCTGAGAGTGAAAGTAGCAGAGAGAGCCACAGCAGTGACTCGGACTCTGATGGGCCCATACTGTACACAGATGATGACGATGATGACAACGATGATAATGCAAGTGCAGAAAGTAAGCATCCCACCAAGCAGTTGTAGGCTACCTTTTACACATTGCATTATGTGAGCATGCCTGACCCATAGCAGGGCAAATTATGTGGCTGCATGGGGTGGTTTTAGATGATTTAGTATTTTGCCATCTCTGAGAAGTGTCCTGCTTTTCCCAGACAGTTGTGATCAGAAACCTGGTGGGGCCTGTGCAATGGTGAGGGCCAATCAAACGTTGTGCAGGTGGGAGGGGAGGTGGGAGGAATGGGTTCAGAAGAACATGAGGATGGATCAAGGCCTCCATGTTAGGGCATCAGCAAGCCATTGACTTGGTTTGCCCATGTCGTGAACCTCTACACTTAAAGCACCAGTTTGGCTTTCAGTTAAATGGCACCAGAGATCCCAAAGTTTCCTGTGGGAGTAACAGGCTGTGGTGGACAACAGAAGCAGCCCATCAGTCAGCAGCATCGCTGTCTGAAAGTCATTTGTTCCTATTTGATCAGGATGTTTCAAACATTGGAGCATAGAATCATAGAATAGAATCATAGAATGTATTGGGTTGGAAAAGACCTTTCAAGATCATCTAGTTCAACCCCCCTGCAGTGAGCAGGGACAATGTTACTAGATCAGGTTGCTCAGCATCTTAGAGCAAATCACACTGGATTACATTTAAGTTTACAGCTTTGAAATTTCATCTGGTATCATGATTATATCATCACCTTAATTTGGCAGAAGTCCTTGCTGCTGCTGCAGGGGGGTTGTCCTGCCCACCTTCTGCCTAATCCTTGCTCACAGCTGTTCTCTCTTCCCTTAGGCTAGCACTCATGTTTATTTTTGCAGCAGTGGCTGCTGCTGAGCTTTTCAGTAGAATGAGTTCCCTGATCCAGCTCACCCGATGGTTGCACCTTTGCTGAGGCAAAGGAGGTGGCAGCAGCAGGCTTTTGGGGGTAGAGAGGAGGGCAACCTCTACCACCTGCAGGATGGCCTTATGTCTGAAAAAAATGACCATCAATCCATGGCCTGAGAGCCTTGCCCACAGCTGTTCAGGAGGAGGTGTTTCGCTGTGCTTGGTGAAGAAGGCCTGACCACAAAAGTGCCGTGTACTGAAGAGGGATGAGGAAAATTAACATTTTCGGGTTTTTTCCTTGGCCACTGGTGCAGCAGAAGATGAAGTGCCAGACAGCTCAAGAGGCTGAAGTCTTATGCAGTTCTGCATTTGGTTTGAGTGTGATCCAAAGTGGTAGCAACCAAAAAATCATGTATTCAGACAGCAGCACAGTGTCTTACAAGAGGTGAGCTAGGTGCTTGTGGTCCTACCAAACTGCCTTACGTGGTGAAAACCTGCCAACCTAGGACGTATGTACCCCACTTGGTCAGAATATCAAGAGACAAGGACTGAAAGCCATGGAAACAACTCTTCTCTTGCACAGCTGGCTGTAGTAAAGCTGACAAAATTGCATAGCCCTTGTCTCTAGTGTATCTTGTTTATGGATAACAGATTGCTTCAGTGCGTCGGGGTACCTGCCTAGATTACTTTAGAAGCACTCAGAGCACTTTTCTAAACTGTATTTTTTGTTTTAATTTAGAAATTAGTTTAAGGTAAAAAGCAGTATGGAAGAACTAAGTAGTATTAGATTGAAAAAAATTGAAAGAATGAGGGAAAAGATGAGAGAAAGAGATTAAATCATTGAAGACTGAATAAAAAGAGCAGCAGGTTGTTAAGTATACTAAGTAGATAAATAAACCAACCTGTAATGTATCCAACTTCAAAGACACTTAAGTGTAGGTTTGTAATTTTTATCTTGTGACTTCACTGATGACAAGTGATGTTTGTAAAACTCCTCTATCATTTTGGACGGTAGCTTTTCAATCGTAGCCTTTCAGCTTTCTACTGTTGTGAACTAAGCTAAAACTATTTTTCTTTTGATGTTAATTCAAATTCCTGTCCTGCATGTGGGAACAAGGTTGCTTTGGGGAAGTTATTAAAGTCTTTAATCAGAGTTTATGCCTTTAACCTAAGCATGAATGAACTAAATCAACCCTTCTCCTCCTTTCCTCAGGCTCTTTGGCAAGTAAAATTCGTCGCAGAGATACTCTTGCTATCAAACTTGGCAACAGACCATCTAAGAAAGAATTAGAAGACAAAAACATCTTGCAGCGTACATCTGAAGAGGAGAGGCAGGAAATCAGACATCAGATTGGAACGAAGCTCGTGAGGTATCAGTGGCAGGGTAAATGTGGTTTCTCTGGGCAGAGATTGAGGAAGAGAGCTGAGAACACAGGATTCATGTTTTAAATGCAGCTCAATGTGTGATGCAGGATCTTCATGGTACAACTGCCTGAAAAACAGCATTTTTCTTTCTCACAAAACTTTAAAATGTCAGTAATGCATTTTTGTTCTGCAAGAAACAGATCCAAGAGCTTCTGGGATTTTGAGTTGTTCTGTCTTTTTTAAAAAAGGACTTTAAAAAAGGAGTCCAGAATAATCAGTGCCATGGTTCAAGCTTTTTCTCACATTGTTTATCAGGGGCTTGCACTTGTATACTCCCATTTTGGACAGCGTTGTAGACACACTGAGCACGTCTATGTATGTTTGTCCCTCCTGGCCCTCCCCATCATCCTCCTGCTCTCTAACTTCATTATTCATGTGCTGGTCCTACCAAAAGAAATGGATGGAGGCTGACTTTGTAGTTCGGTGTTTAATGTTTTACTGTGCTCACCTCTGAGGCATGTCTCTCTCATGCTGTTTAACTGCTATAGGGTATATTTTGCTTTCTTTTGCTGGACTTGAAGACACTGCATAAAAAAGGCTAATTTTCACTTGCATTTTTATAGGCTTTAAAAAAAATCCTTATAAAAGTTAATTTTGGCTTTCATGGTCTCTGAGAATAGACTACATCTCTAGATTTCCCCAGACCTTTCCTTGTTTCTCTTGTGCTCAGAAATGTTGTCCAGGTGGATTTGGAGGATGTCCTGTGTGTGTTGGAGATTTCCAGATATTGGGTAGCCCAGCTGGTACTGCTCTGGTACAGAGTACGGCAGTCCAGCATCAGCACTTGGATAATGAGCTGAGTTAGTTTTTCTGGCTAGTGGCTGGATACATCTGTTGTGTAGAGCCCAAAGGTCATTTTTCTTCTGCTAATAAAGCGGCATGGTTGTTATTACCGCTTTCCTGACTGATTCCCAGCTCCAATGGTCACATCCTGCTTGTTCATGCTCCCTCGAGGACTTGAACTGCAGAAGCATCTCCGGTCTCTGTCCTGAACTTCTTGCACAGGGATGTTGCTGGTTCTGCTGGGAAGCTGTCACGCTCCCCACGCAGCTCTGCTTTGGAGGCAGGAGACAACATCCATGCGTCTTGGGGCTGTGCTCATGCCTGAAATCACAACTAAGTTTGACACCAGTTCCTTAATTCCTGGTTGGTAGTCAGCACCCAGCAGCATTGAGGTCTGAAGGGAAACCTGTTCCCAAACTTTGGTCAGGATGGGGTCAGGTTCCAGCCTGGGATTTCCTGCAGTGGGGGTAAACCTGCTGGTCCTCCCTGCCAAGTCTGGAAGTCCAAGCATGGTTTGAAGGAGATGGGTTTCCTGAGGCCAAAGATAATCCATAGTGAATTCTGTGAGGTTTGCTGGACAGAGAGGCATCTATCTAACACATCTCCAAAATTAATTTTAATGCTGAGATTTTTCTTGCTCCTTTTCTCAAGTGAACAAGGGGACCTGTTTAGTAAACACTGTGACAATATCAACCATGTTCTCTACTATACAAACCAGAAAATTAATATCCCAGAGTTGTTTTTTTTAATGGTAGTTGTTATATATAAGTAACTAAATAAATTAACTTTCAATTAAAACTCCCAGTTGTATTGTACGTAGAAATCAGTGAGGAATGCACAGCTTATTTTGTGTTTAAAAAAATGAATAGGATTTGCATTCAAAATATCTGAGAACAATCTTATGATTGCCAGCTTATCATCATTATGGTGCTTGGGGACAAAGAGGGCTTATGAATTCTCTCATAAAATCCTACCTGTAAATGAGGAATTTTAATTTGCTGGTACGATTTCTGTAATATTATGCAAGTATTAGTTATTGATGTGTTTGAGTGGCAGTAATACATCTTTTAAAACAAATGGCCACTCGGTACTGTGGTTATATGCAAAGTTATTATAACTCTGTCTGAAAATTACCTGTGTTGCTGAATACCTCTACTGGCAAAAAATAGCATGGTCATATGAGAAACACTTTTTAAGCTGTATTACAAATCATAATATGTTATTTGGATCTGGTTTTAAATCAGTCATTTACTTTATTCTCACAGGAGACTTAGCCAGAGGCCTACAACTGAAGAGCTAGAACAAAGAAATATCCTAAAGCGTAAGTATTTTATTTAGGTTTCAGCTTGTAATTACTTAGAAATTGCGCATATGTTGGAATCATATTGAAACTATCATTGCTGCTCTAGTGTTAGAGCCATAACAGGAGAGAAATTATGTTCTAGAAAGTAATGTGTCAACAGTAGATATATGTACTAAACTGTAATGGCAGCTGTGAAAATTGCATATATTTAAGATGCTGAATTTTCCCTGTCTCAGTCCCACTTTTTGAGGCTGGTCGCAAAGACCAGGAATGACTTAGATACTCTTTTGAAGTAGTTCTAGAATGCTTAAACTTCTGCCCAATTTTTATGAGAAGGAGGAGAAGGGAGTATCAGTAGGAGGCTGAGGTGGTATATATGGGCAAAGGTTGGAAGGTGGAATAGAGAAAGGAAAGGTGAAGCGTTCAGGGGAATAGGTATATGCTGACTACTTCAGTATGCTGGCCTTTGTATCCATTTCTGACATCTGTACTGAAACTTGCATGAAGCATTCTCACTGAATAACGTCCCATTGATTAAATCCTTCCTCAGTATCCCTCTTCAAAAAATTTAAGTCTGTAATTCAGATAGTCGGGGGCAGAGGAATGAAGTACATTGTAAGTTTACCCTGTATACCTGTTCTCCCACTTACTTGTGTTGGTTTTGATCTTGGGCTGGCAAACGCTTCAGAACAGGCATTTTTTGTCTTGCTTTATGAATCTTTGAATAATATAAATAGTACGTACTCCTGTCTAGTAGATAATGTGAATGGACTTTCTAAGGCTATAATTTCTGAACTTACAGATTGCATAGATAACTAGATAGAATTTGAAATATGAACATTTTTTTAATATAACAAACTGCTCATGCTGGACTGTGTGAGAAAGATAATTCCAAAACATCTTTGGTGGATCAGGATGTAGCCCCAGCTGAGCTTCCTTATTGCCCTCTCTAGCTAATCTCTAGATAATGAATCTAACAACAAACCTGTGATGTATTCAGTATCCCTTTTGCCATTTTTTATTCTGTTCACTGGTTTTGCAATAAGTAGCTCAAGACTGGGAAGCAGTTAATAGATTTCTTCTCCTGTTTCAGCTTGTTTACTCTCAGCTTCTGGCAGAGCACCAGGCTTTGCGCTCAATGCCTCCAGCCGTCCTCCCCTGCCTCTGCCGGGGGCTGCCTTAAAGAGGCAAGGGAGAGTCAGAAATGAAGGCTGGGAAGCAGCATTAGAAATCGCAGAAAATCACAGAGTCACTGGCGAGCATGTGGTGAATCCACAACTGCTTTTTGGTCATCACTGAGATATGAAATCTTTCTAGTTGACAGTGATCTGTAAAAAGCAAAGTGAACCAAAGCAAGCCGGGGTTTGTGGAGACAGTCTGACTCAGCCCCTGCAGGGTGCAAGTTCCCTCCCAGCTCTAAGGCAGTCGTATTATTTATCAAAATTATTATGTTCCCTTCCTGGGGATCATTCAAAAATGTTTACATCTCTTAAATGCCTTTGTTGTTGTAGGCAGCTTTTGTGAATAAGTTGGGATTTCTTTCATAAAGCTTCCTTCCTCCTATTTTTAAGCAGGGGAAAGGGAGAAGGGGTTATAGTATTGCATGTAGGTAAAGTGCAGCTAAGGGAAAGTATTGTTTTGAGAAATATTTATCAGACTTTGAGGTTACATTAAGTGCTAAAGTTCTAAATGCTTATTTCAGGATTAAGTTAGGCCAAAATCTTTTAAGAGGTTCAGAAAAAGTCTGTATTTTTTCTTCCCTTTTTTTTTGTGTATTTCCAGTTAGTGAGGAAATCTGTCATACAAGAAGTTTTGTTTTGATAATATTTCCAGATAAACTGGTTACTGAAAATCCTGTGACTGGGTGCGATCACAAGACGTTGCAGGCAGATTCCTATAAAAACAATTTGGATAAAACTGTCCAGACTTCTGAGTCTTTCCACACTAAAACGAAGTTACGATAACTCAAGAGTCCACTTGAAGGAAAAGATAAAGCCCTGTGTTTTTAATAAAGGCAGGTTTCTTGTGTACTGGCTTTGAGCCAGTAGTATTTATAGTATTGCATTATGACAAAGAAACTTTTTATTCTTCCAGGAATTTCAGCTTAAGATAACTGTATTTTTTCCTGCATTTGTAAGGACAGTGAACTTCTTGTACTGTGCACCTGCATGTCTGCCGGTACTGGCTTTGTAGAAAACAAGGTTTAGTTCTTGATGCTGGTTAAGGAATATTAATGGTTATCTTTGCTTGTAAAACTAGGAAAGAGAAACTGCTTTGTGCGTTCCAGAGCACTGCAAGAGGCAAGCACTTTGTTTGTCTTTTCTTTCTCTT